GGCTTCACTAATGGCGCGTTTCCACTGCAGGCCTCGCTCAGCCTCGCTCGGTTTGGTTAGGCCTTATTAGGCCCGGCTCACTTTAATGCTGCGCTTCCATTACAGTTTAGGAACTGGGGCAGTTACTATAGTAACGCAGTGTAGGCGGAGCCGTGACGTCATCTTCAATGAGCGCCCCAAAAAACAACACAGCCGTTAGCTCTTAGCACTCAGAGCTCACAGCTCTTCATATCTGTTCAGAAACTTGACAAAAGTTAAACAAGTACAAACCACAGACTACCTGTGTCATGGTGAATACAGTCGCTGGTTTATTTATGTCTGTATAGGCCGTTGTTGTGAGTGTGGACGGTCGGAGCATATATAACGTTAGCTTAGCCAAGCTCCATTTAGAAAGCACGCATTTTAAAAGGGTTTTTCGCCTGCCGTCTGTCTGCAGACTTGTCAAAGCATTAATTCATGGTTTTTACTAACCGGTATCAGTATGTTGTTACTTCTGCATCATTTTGAAACATATATTGCAATTAAATCACGGTCAAATATGTTCATCTTGTTGTAGTTGTAGCCCCCTTGCCAGCGATTCTCTCTCTAGTTTAGCATACTCAGCCCGACTCAGCCTGGTTGTTCCTGGCCCTAGAACCACGATTTGGTCGGGCCAGAAAAAAGGTGAAAAAGTAGCCCCAGGCCAAAACTAGGCCAAGTGGAAAAGCAACCAAAAACGGGCCCCGCACGGCTCGGCACGCTTAAAGCGAGCTACCCGCTGCAGTGGAAACGCGCCATTAGAGTCACCCAGTTCTGCTCTGCTGCAGTCCGGCTGAGTGCAGTCACAGAGATGCTATGGCTGCTCTACATGACATTAATGGTCTGGTCCGAGAATGGGCACCATTTCCTGCTCCCAGAGAGAATGACGATCCTCAAACTGGACTTTACAGCCGTTGATACTGTCTCACATGGGTCTGCTTCCCCCCACCGAGCCATGAACTGAAAGCTTGACATCTGCTTTGAACACTTGGAACTGTCACACCAGCACCAACCCTTGGGTCAGTTAGATGAGACTAACGGCTTCACTTAGGGCATATGGGTCAGAAATATGACTCTCGTTACCACAGAGTGGGTTGTTTGTTTTTTAAGGCTATTCATACTGCTATGCAGAGTAAAAAGCCCCTACTATTTTTAGTATAGGCCTAATGTCAGGGGCCTCTTACTGTCTACTTCTGCATGTATTCACATTATATGGACCATGTTTCCACCTGGTGAAACTAGAGGCTGCACGGAACTCAGGCTACAATACAACCATTCTGTTCTGCTCTAACGATTCAATTTATAGATTCTACATCAAAATAGTTCGTTTTTATTGTTTCCAATGATAACGTCACCTTAAGTGGAGGAATGCAAACCTGTTTTCAAATGTAAGGTTTTGAATTTGTTTGACATTTCTCAGTAATGCCACCCTCAGACGCCCAATATCTTTCATGCTATGCCTTCAGTGGTAACTCAGATGTTAAGGGGGTTGAAGCTGTTCCTCCCAAATCAGCTATGCTTTGTGTTTTCAACAACGGTGTGCATTTCCTGCATAATATATGTTTCTCACAATTTTGTTAGCTGCGCACAGGTGATACTGAGTCTTCTCGAATGGATTATAACCTATACCATGCTTACATGGACTCGTATGTTTTATTTCATATCTAACAGAAGTAAGAGAATAGAAGGAGATGAGGAAGAGAGAGGATGAGAAGAGAAAATAGAGAGAGATGTGGAAGAGAGGGATAGGAAAGAGAGAAGAGATATTTGCGAGTTGCATACTGATTCTGAGTCTTCTCGATTAATAGCTTATATAGACAATACCATGCTTAAATAGACTCATACGTTATTATTTCATATGTGACATATGTAAGAAAAGGGAGGGGAGAGTCAATTATATTGAGTAATTGATTTCATATTGGAACATTCATTTCTCAAACCTATGTTTTATGGAAGAGGAAATGTACGTCTGATAAACTAATCTTTTATCAAATGGTGAATTAATATAACATTTAGAATCATTGAGAAAGGGTTATATCCACAGGGACTAGCTCACATTTAAAAAATAAATGTCTCTGCTTTGGACTGATGAGTATATGATTCTTGCATGTTAAATGACTAACACAAACCTTACATTTATGCATGTGTCAGGAAGGCTCCCAAATAATTCTGAGGGGCCTATCCTATTTTTGTAATTGAATGATAATGTGCTAATCCATTACTTTGAGTTGTCTGCACTCAGGAAAACATCCCTATCAAGTGTTACCCAATAACTAGGACAGCTCTGAAGGCCAAGGGTCAGAGAGAGAGGATCACACTCTGCGGCGGCAGAGAGCACCCCCATCCACGGGCAAGGAGGCACGAGGTCGTTCGAGATGAGAGGATTCTAATCTTCAACTTTCTGATGAGATGGGATGTTTCTTCATCTTTCTGCTCGGTGGGCCCAACCAGACAACTCTGCAGGACGAGCGATGGTTTCAGAGGCTTCATACAAGGTTCCATGTTTCTTGGAGGAGCAGATGTTTTCATAACCTCTCCCATCTCTCAAGCAGATAGCAGAAGGAATACAGGCAGATGAGCCTCTGTTTCACTGGGAGATCATAAAGTGCTCACTGAATTGAGCCACAAAAGCAGAGCAATTGGGGGGGATTGAGATATGGCGCTCTGAGGAAGAAGAGTTTTGAGCCAGTCAGCACCTCAGTGCTAATCTACAGTATCAGGATGCCTTTACACACCAGACATTCTGTGTCATAAAGAGAGGAGGAGAACGAGGCAGGAGGACAGGTTCTTCCAGCTCTTGTATAAAGATAACAGTTTAATTGAATGACCAGATGTTTACAGATGTATAATGAATGACTGTTCTTATATTTCCGAGGAATAGACATGTGTACAACATCAGGAAGATACGTCCCCAGCTGACACAGAAAGCGACTCAGGTTCTGGTCCAGGCTCTCGTCATCTCACGCCTAGACTACTGCAACTCCCTCCTGGCTGGTCTACCTGCATGTGCCATCCGACCTCTGCAGCTCATCCAGAATGCAGCGGCTCGTCTGGTCTTCAACCTTCCTAAATGTTCCCACACCACTCCGCTCCTCCGCTCCCTTCACTGGCTTCCGGTAACTGCTAGAATCCACTTCAAGACACTGGTACTTGCTTACCATGCTGCGAATGGATCTGGCCCTTCGTACATCCAGGACATGGTTAAACCGTACACCCCAGCGCGTGCACTACGCTCTGCATCAGCCAAACGGCTCGCTGCCCCTCGCTGCGAGGGGGACCCAAGTTCCCATCGGCGAAAACACGTGGGTTTGCTGTCCTGGCTCCAGGATGGTGGAATGAGCTCCCCATTGACATCAGGACGGCAGATAGCTTGCACATCTTCCGGCGCAAACTGAAAACTCATCTCTTTCGACTCCACTTTGAGCAATAGAACTATTAACGAAGCACTTTTATACTAATAAAGGACTGGATTACCTAAAGCCAGTTGAGTAGCACTTGAAATGTTTGGCTCTATGAAACCTGATGTACTTATATGATTCTGTTTTCTTCAAGTTTGTATGTTGGTCGAACGCACTTATTGTAAGTCACTTTGGATAAAAGCGTCAGCTAAATGCAATGTAATGTACTGTAATGTAATGTAATGTGTTAAATAGTGGTGATAAATATATTTTGTCAGATCAGATTACACTTTCACACTAAACAATAAATAATTGATATTTTCAGATTATAAAGGTATTGAACAATAAGATATTTCTATTTATAACAGATAGTGTTAATATCCTTAATTGTCCAGCAATCAGGTTTAACAACACTACTCTTCAATGTATATCCATGAAAGACCTACAATGATGTTTCAAGTTTTAAACATTTTAACCTTCCTTTCCAGGTTTTACAAAAGTCTTTGAATATTTGCCTAACTTTTCCTTTTCAGATTGTTAAACATTTTGAGAATTGTTTAGTTTTCCCTTCAGATTTTGAAATAACATAATGATTGATAGTTGAAGTAATGTAATTATGTTATCATGCCATAATCTTTTGATTAAAGCGTAATGAAGTAAACGTAAAGTAATCCTGAATTGAGGACACTGCAACTTTACAGATTACAGATTGATCGATTCATCACTGTGAATTTATACCTTAACTGGGAATTTTAGCTGGATCTCTCATGATTCTGATTTTATACCTCAATTGGATTTCTTATAATCCTAAATTCTAATTGTGTTTTAATAAGTAATTGCCTTGAATTAAATCTTTGAGATGTAAGCTGATTTTGAATTTGTGTTTGATGAATGAGATTAACTGAGTGATAAATGATAAACGATCTTATTTTTGAAACATATATTATGCTATTATATTTTTGTATTTCATGTGTGTTTATTATTGTGCTTTTGACAAAAGATGCCAAGCACTGAAGAGATGATTTTTCTATTATGATTGACTGTGTTCAATCATGGTGATTGAAATGTTTTCAATCTTGTTTATCTTGTTTTATTTTTGATGTAATTGATGTATGTGATCCCACACAACTCTGAAGACGCTTATTGATTTAAGTAGTGACTGAAATATTCTTAGACTAATGTTAATTGGTTATCATCAATTGATAAAAAAGAATGAAACTGTAAGAGAATATTTTAATCCAATCCCTTTGTGTCCTCAGCTTTTCTGAGAAACCTCTTAAATTGCAACAGGTCAAGAGGTCCTCTGCCATCCTGTGGGGGAGGGGTTTTCTGCTTCTATGCATTTGTGAGACAAACAGTCCTTTGTTCCGACGTCTGGCAATCATTAAGTAAAAGCGCGGGTTTTCTGGGTTCCTCCCCTTTGGAAGGAGTGTATCGGCGCTATTTCCTCTTTGTCTCCAGAGTTGATTGCTTTGTGGTTGTGAACTCTCCGGCTGTATTATACTCTTAATAAATATCGACGTTTGACTAAAGCTGCTCCAGTTTCCATCCTTTCTGCACAGAAGTTTCCATCACATATATATATATATATATATAATATATGTCTATATTATGTGTCAGATGTGCAAGTGTCTAACTAAGTGATTGTTTTGTCAAATTAATGGTCTCAAGGTTAACATTTAGAAAAACACAAAATGTTTATTTTAATTCCTGTAGTTGGCTAATAAGTAATATGGTAATCTCTGTTATTGCAGATGGCTGAACTTCAGGTAGACGATAACACAAGCAGCAGAATGACTTCATCAGCAGAGGTAAGTTACTTTAACTTTTAAAAGTGAAAATCCTGGTTAAATAATTATTCATATTTGAGTGAAAACAATGACATTCTGTTTAAAGTTTAGCTGTCTAGAGTCCTGTTGATTTAAGTTTTCAGAATAGTTTACATGGTTGCATTTGAGTCTAAACAATGAAGAATTAAAAAAGCATTCGTTATACTGAGTGAATCATATTGGTTGCTAGGAAACATCTGGCAAAATCAATCAAAGATGTAAACAGGAAGTCACCTGTAGCAAATAGTGAGTGCTAAAGCAACAGTAGCATATACAAGGAGATGTTAACATCTGATCATTCACATTTAGTCAGAGGTGGGAGAAGTACTCAGATCTTGCACTTCAGTAAAAGTAGAAGTACTCAGATCTTGAGTAAAAGTAGAAGTACACAGACCTTGTACTTGAGTAAAAGTAGAAGTACCAGAGTGAAGGAATACTCTGTTACAGTAAAAGTCCTGCATTCAAAATGTTCCTCAAGTAAAAGTAGAAAAGTATTATCATCAAAATATAGTGAAAGTTGCGACAGTAAAAGTAGTCATTGTGCAGATTGGTCCATTTCAGAATAATATATCTGATATGTTTATAATGATTGATCATGAAAGTGTTCTCAACGCTGGTGAAGGTGCAGCTAGTTTGAATGGCTTGTATACTGCAGGGTAGCTGGTGGATTTACTCCAGGTGGAACTAAAGTCTGATTTAACACTTGATTATATCTCACATCATTCATCCATATCTGTAGAGTAACTAAAGGTATTAAATACATGTAGTGCAGTAGAAGTACACAGTAGCATACAATTGAAATACTCAAGTCAAGTACAGTTACCTTAAAAATTGTACTTAAGTACAGTACCTGAGTAAATGTACTTCCTACCTCTGAATTTACTGATATAATGTGATCATTTAATGTTCATTATTTTCAAATTCACAGTGTAGATATTTTAATAGCTAGTGATACCTGGATACTATAACTAATTTATAAAACAATTAAATTAGTTTGTGTGCTTCAACCCTTTTAGTTTTTTGTATTTAGCTATAGATAACTCTAACCTTATAACAGATAAAGTATGCAATATTCCATCATGATATTGGTTGAAAAAAACACTTTAGATTTTGCATGTTTTGAATAATATTTAAAAACATTTTGTTTGTGAGAGCCAACCCCTTTGTATTCATTTAAAAATAACAACAAATCATTTTGAATCAATCAACCAAATAGTGCGTCTTGTGCAGAAGTTGTATCAAGTTAAAGGTGGGGTAGGTAAGTTTCAGAAACCGGCTCGAGATACACTTTTTGTTATATTCCATGGAATGCTCTTAACATCCCGATAGCAATGAATATCTTAAGTGCTTTGACAAAAAATCCATAAAAAAATGTCATCTGTGGAAACCGTAATACTGTAAAAAGCCTGGCCGGCTAAACGGATTGGATTGCCGCCCTGTCTGTCAGCCTTCCATCTCGTGCACGCACAAATGTATCTCGTGCCCTCATTGGGCGTGCCGTAATTGGGCGTGCATTAGGCGTTCATGTGTGTTGGAGGAGGTGCTCTGTAAGGAAGTCTGAAGGAAAGGGCGGATTCTTTTCGGCTGTGTACTTTCAAATTTTAGTGCACTCGAGCCGGTTTCTGAAACTTACCTACCCCACCTTTAATAGGTATTTATACGTCTTCATTTATTCAGCGGTATTTGAGGCTACAACGAGTCAGAATGCATTCTCGGGTTTCATTAAAAACCTTACTTTACTTCTGTCACATTCATTTTTAACTTGCATCAAGACATTCATGTGTCCTCTAATACAGTGTTTTTCAAAGTGGGGGCCCCGACCCCCGGGGGGCCCCCAGGGGGTCACGCAAAGTTTGAGGGAAAGGGGGATTTTTTCTTTTTTTTCTTTTTAGATGTTATTAATAACTGCATATCTCAATCTATGTGTCCTTTGATGCCAATCTTTTAATTTTTTGAATCACACGACTGCCCTTCAAGCCAATCAGAATCAAGCTGCTGCAATTGAGAGTGAAACTGAGTATCTGCTCAGCTTTTGGAGCAAGTGAATATTTCGCTCTGCAGCTGGATGAGAGCACGGATGTAGCAAATGTCGCAGAATTGCTTGCATACATCAGATTTATATCAGAAGACTGGAAGAGACATTTTCCAAGTTTTAGATGAGTACATCATATGAAATGGACTTGACTGGTCTCGTTGTGTGGGTGTGTGTTCAGATGGGGCAGTGGGGCTAAGACCGGCAAAAAAGCGGAGCGAGTGACAGCTTTGATCAGGCGGAAGGCCCCACATGTAGTGGCAACGCACTGCATGCTCCATCGCGAGGAACTTGTTGCTAAGCGTATTTTGTGTAACGAGATGAGCGCAAAGTTTGAGGGGTTACTGCTCCACTCCAACGTGCGCTGACTTTCCCGTGGGGCGGTGCTGAATTGTGTTTTTGAACTGCGAAGGGAGATCATTGAATTCCTCTCTTCTGAAAATCATGGCTCTGGAAACTTGCATACTGTTTCACTCCCTCAGTACTGGCTGTATGTCAAAAAAGGCTATCCCGCTCTGGCTGAGAGGGCTCTCAAATCCTTTCTTCCATTTGCCACCACATACCTCTGCGAGTCTGGCTTTTCTACATTGAAGGTATTGAAAACAAAGGGCAGAGGACGTTTGCAAGTGGACAATGACAAACCTAAAACCTAGGATTGATAAACTGTGTAGGAGCCACCAAGCCCACCCCTCCCACTAGTGAGGGAACAGGTATACACAAAGAGACACACATAGTGAAATGACAAGGACTGTTGTTTATATATATATGAATATAAATATGTTTATTAGGGCCTGAGCACGGAGCGCTAGGACCCAACGGCATCCTAGCACGAAGTACGAGGAACCTATTGTTATTGGAGGAATTATTCTTATTTTTCTGCTGGCGTTTCCTTTTTTTGAAGTCTTTAGGATGCTTCAAAAGTTGTATAATTTTGCACGGATTCCAGAATCGGTGAAAACTACAATATTCTGGACTCAATTTGTTCAAATTGTCCAGCATGCTCTCTAGCGCCACCTATGGCCATTTCCATTTTTGGAAAGATGTACAAAGTCGCACCGTAACTCCGAATGACCTGAAATGTTGCACACTTATTCGAACCCCAAAGTTACGCCTACTTTTTTTTTTTAATTAGCATAATTTCAAAAACAGTTAAATATTCACTTAAAGAGCCTGTGACACGAGTTTCCCCCATCATCCAAACCCATCAATTTGAGTAAATATTGTCCCCTTGAAAACCGTTAGTGAACTGATTTGGATATTTGCACTTTGATAACCATTAATCTGCCCTTCAATGTTGACCATTTTCGGGATCTTCTCGGGGATTCTTCAAAGTCACGCCAAATTATGTGTGGTGTCATTGCGGGCACAGTGCTCCTACTGCACCGTTCAGGGATCCCAGCATCTGCATGTAAAACGCACGATGGCGCACACAGCAGCAAGCTCAGACAGCGATGACAATTTAATTTGAACGTGTCTGAGAAGCTGGATATGAGGCTGAAGGATCTGGTTTTATGTTGTATCTATTAGAAGTTTAAGAATTAGGTGCGTCAATATTGGCGCTCATACGGTCATGTAGCCAGTGGTGGACTGGGACTAAAAATCATCCCGGGACTCTCGACTGGCCCACTTCGGTACCGCTAGTAAAATTGTCAACGGGGGGAGTGGGGGATGTCAGGGGCGGCGGTGCTGTAGATAGTAATGTAAATATTTGTGTCACTGTCCGATCTGGTCAAATACAAATATAATGTCTGTGTGTTTGACATTAGCGCTGCTAGCCACCTGTGCCCTGTTTCTACGAAGCCAGTTCAACATACCCTGGATATGTTTGAGTAACAAACTAACAACAACAAACTAACAACGAGATCTCGCTAAGCGGTCCTACGACGCTGGTTTATCAACTCGGTAAATCAAGCCCGGGTTTCTCTCACCAGCTGAGAGCGCCTTCACGTCTAAGACACGAGAGGATCTGACTTTAATTACATTTGACTCGAGTGTTTCGTCAACTTAATGTGTTGCTTAAAATAATACTTCTGCATACAGTATGTGACACTGTGAGTGTTGCACGGCCAGATACGGCTCAGCTGACTCGGATAAGGAAATATATGATATATTATGATATTATATGATCGATGATCTGATTGATGAATGTAATATGAATGATAAGTGCGACACGTCGGCGTCTTCTCTGCATACGGCAGTTTAAACTGTATTTCCTTTAACCTGTAATATGACTTGATAGATTTAAACTCCGCACACTGAGTTGATCTCTTTTCTATAGACGCCGAGGGCGTGCAGCGTCAGGTAAAAAAAGTTATTTAGCCTTCCCAAACCTGAGCCTGACTTATCCGACCGGCCCCACTTCGGTACCGGCCCATCGGGATTCGTCCCGATGGGCAGTCCGCCACTGCACCCAGCCCACGTAAACTGCAACGGGGGGAGCCTCGCTGCGGGGAAACGGTGGACCTAGTGTCCCGATCGGAAGTGGGAATAATAATAATAATTAAAACTGCGGTCGCACTTGTGCCGCAGTGATGAGGGGCCCTCGCATCCGTGCGCCTGTCGGGGAGGGCAGCCGGTCGTCCCGGCGTCAAGCACACGCGCGCGAGTCCTGGGAAATGAGCCGTTTCTCATTTCTATAATTTTCGCATCCCAGACTCCCAGGTCCTCCGGCAGCGACCCGGAAACGGATGTCGAAGGAAAACAAATTTCTCTAAAGGCTCGTCAAGGATCGATTATCGAGGAGGCTGTCTGGAGGAGCCGTAACCGAGGATACACTGATGTATTCTCCGGAGACGATTTCAGCCAACAGTGATGTTTAAAAGAGGTGTGACGCATGGCTGGACTTCTGTCAACGAAGCACAGCTCTGCAAACTGTTCCCGTTGTGATTATAAGTTATTTGAGATGATCAAATGTGCATCAGACTTTCTGCCCTTTACCGTTTGTTTACTC